GACGTGACATGTTCGTACGAACCCTTTGTACGAACAAAAGTAAGAGAAATTTAGGTTAAGAATACGAACATGTTCTTGCATGAGGCCCATTGTTCCTAAATGCAAACATTAGAATATCAGTTGCTAAAAACTAAAATAAGCTAAAATAGCCAAAAGTTAAATACAAGTCTAACAGTAGCTAAATGTTAAACTTAGCAAACCCATCACTACAATTAAGTAAAGAAAAAATGTAGCTTAATGTACCAAACCATAAATGCTAAAATAGTCAAAATCATTGCAAATTATTTGTAAAATTGTACCTAAAAGCTAAATTTGGCAAAACTGTGGCTAAAAGCTAGAATTAGCTTTCTGACTCTAGGACTCAAAGAATCTCCTAATATCCTGAACTCAACCAACCGTAACAAGAGTTCCTGCTTCTGTCTCCATCAGTCCAAAGTTACTGGACAGGTGCTAAAAGACTAACTCTTCTTATCAACATTAGTGTGTGCTAAAACGCTTGGACTGGGAAGCTCAATTGAATGAAGAGGCAAATTAAAAAAAACTTAGTCTCAGATAAAACACCAATCAAACGCAGACTTTAACCCAGAGGTTTATAAGTAGAACCTTTTCAGGTCGAGGCCAAACTTTAGAATTCAGGGTAGCAATTATTTTACTTTAATGTGTAGTTGTCATTTAACAAAATCTACCAACATTTTCTTAAGAAAAAATGTCTATTTAATAACATTCAGAGTAATTTGCACACTTAAGAATTATATAGTATACAGAAGATCATTCTCACTTAAAACTACTTACCAGCAGTAAATTCAGCAACTTTATGAAGTTACTCAGTCCATCACTAAACCAGCCAAACATTTTAAATAAGCATTTTATTTATGGAAATTATAGTTAAGTGAAAATTTAGAGTACATTTGCAGTTTAAATAATTCGCAAGTCATTAATTTCACAGTTGTTTATTTGTTTGTACTTTATTACCAGTCTGTCAGTAATTGTAATTTCTCTTATTGGATTTAGAACTAAAATTGTTGGTGACATTTACCTAATTTATTTCTTTTTTTTTTCTTTATACACTTAAAGACAGCACCACTACATTTGTTGTTTTCTGCTCTTTTAGCTGTCAGGGGTTGCTAAATACAAAAATGGCACTGAAGCAGAGAAAAAAATCGACCTCCGAATCAAAGTTGTTGACGAGAATGACAACCCTCCAGTCTTTGGACAAATCAAGCCTGTTTTGGTGAATGAAAACAGTCCTAAAGGTTAGTATTGTAACTTCTCATGTATCTACTCTATGTAATACTTCAAAATCTCATTAGTAGTCAAACTACCATAAGCATTGTGCTTAATCAAATAAAAAGCCATTTAAATGTTTTTAAAGGTGAGCTTTTTGTTGAACAAGCAGAATGCAGTTTTGAAGTAGCCTAAAGCCTGAACAATGTGTAAATATAAAAAGAAAAATTCAAACTGAACTCTGTTAAAGACAAATTGTTGAAATGTTCCTGCTGTTCTGTCTCAGCTAAGATAAGTTTTCAAACACATTAAATGCAGTTTTTTTCCTTTCGTTGTTTTTTTTTCCAGGATTTTCAGTCACAAAAATCAATGCTACTGATGCAGATGAGCCAGGGAATCTAAATTCAAAGATTGCCTATTTCATTATCAGCCAGGAGCCATCAGAAAATGTTTTTAGCATTCGAAGGGATGGTACCATCTACGTCGAGAAGCCTGTGTTGGACAGAGAGGTATGAAAATCTGACCTAAACTAACCGACACCGTTTGTTTTTATTCATGTGCTGCAAAGGGACTGTGATTTTATTGTCTTTGTACTTTTTTGTTACCTGTTGCTCTCTAATTCAGTGCATTTATATATATAATTTCTGTTTTCTTTCACTTTAAAACCTAACCTTGAATACTGTTATCATTTTAGAAACAAGACCAGTACGTTCTGATGCTGAGGGGTGTAGACAGAGATGGAGGCATAGATGGACACACCTCAACAGGGACTGTTACCATTCAAGTTCAGGATGTAAATGACAATCTACCAACACTGGAGAAAGATGAGGTACTTTTCTTTCTTATAATCAACACATAAACATTGGTATGGGTTATTCTGGTGTAAATTCTCAGCCGTACTGAAAAAGACAAACACACACACACACACACACACACACACACACACACACACGCGCGCGCGCACACACAAACACACATGTTTGTTTCTCAACCCCGTGGGGACCTTCCATTGACTTCCATTCATGTTTTTTAGTCTTTATATCCTAACCCTGACCATATACTCTAAAAATTAACCTCACAGAAACTTACCTGACCCTAAAACTAACCTAAACCTTGGTCCTAAACCTGACCCTA